TACTTAAAAAATTCAGAACTCAGTCAAAATAAGTTCAAACGGGCTAAAAATGTTTTCATAACCCCACTTTTGATCGCAGAATCCAAAAATATGAAAAAATATATACCTTAATTTCGACCATTCCACTGACCTCGGACGCAATGCTCGACTGAGTCGCGAAGTCTCTCTTAATTTTTCTCAAAACTTTTCTGTTACACTGAAAAAAGTATTACACTCACTATCGTATCTGGCACCTAAGACAGATTTTGGTCAGCAAAAGTTGTTCGCCATTGTGCTTCGTTGAGCCACAATCAGTGGCGAGGCTCTTAAAAAATAATACTATCCAGGTTATTTCACCTAGTATAGATTTTCACTCGGTTCATGCATTTTGCTCTGAAAACTAACATTGCCACGTGATCCAGCACGGTCGTAACCTCTGTTTTCAGGCATTTCTGAAAGTCCCAGAGCGAAGAATAAAGATGTCCTAGGACTCCGGAAAAAACGTCGGAAGCTCCCAAACCAAGCAGAATGAAACTTTTGCTTGGATAGTATTTTGTAGAGGACATTTTGAACTATCTATCTATGGAATGAAACGATAGATTGTTGTGTAAAATTGTGGACTTAAAATCTAGTTTTACGGAGATCCTCTGAAAAACCGGTTTCACAAATTTGTTCAAAAAACTTTTCTGTATATGAAAATATATGCTAAACTGTCCTCTTTCGACTGCCGGAAACTGCAGTTCTCTATCATTTACTGTCTTTGAGTTATTCAAAAAATAACAGACTGCCTTGTATTTTGGCGCCGATAATAATAATCCTCATTGAAACCTGATATTCCAAAAAAACCGGGCTACAATAACTTCTTATGGATAAATTTTTGAAAAAACGAATTCAAAGTTTTGTAACGCTTGAAAATCTCTGTCGAACGAGCTATTACTTTACGGTTTCCAACAAATCGTTAATTTAGAAATGAAAGTGTAAGCTATCAGAGTAATGCTAATTAGCGTTGCTGAACACTAATTAATTACAAATGAATACCTTAAAAATATTTTTTTTTCAATTTTTTTTGAAATACCAAACTACGGTAAAACGGCGTTTCTACGACTATTAATATGGCGCATTATTAAATTTTGTGCTAAAATTTTATCTTAATTATTTTATAACTCCATGAATACTTACCGGCTCTTCGAAAACAATTTAGGATATATGCAGTCAAGTGTTCTCTACAATCTAAGAAGGTTAAACAGTACCTTTGGTGAGCGTCCGCCTCCTTCCCCCTTAAAATATTCTTAAAATCGAATAATAGATCAGAAATACTTAATTCGCACTATTTTCTTTTTGAGAGAAATGCTCAGAGGAATGTATCGCACGAAAATATGTTGCAGTCTCAATGCAAAAGATCTGTTGCGAGTGACTCCGGTATCGCAGATGATTGTGTCAACCAAGAATATGTCACAATTTGCAACACACGCGACATATTAGTTTATGGTGTGTAAAAAAAGTCAATAATCAAATTTTCCATAAGCACAAAACTTTACTTTGTATTCGTTGATACTGATTCTGCTGATCCTAATAGTTTTCGTACATAATTATTTGCTGAATAACTTTCAAAATTGATCCATTCATTTTCAACTCTGACACAATCACAAGCCATCAATTCTAGACATGATAACAAGAAACAAATCATAATCAAACAAAAACTATTTTAGGAAAACACATACTAAATTGTTTCTTTGATACATATTGTTTTCTTATACAGCTAAACCAAATATATGTTATTAACCAATAAATATGCACAAATATCGAAAGGGGTGGAAATAATGGTGGACGAAAATAATATTCACGTATTATTCCGTAACGATCAAAAGCCCATATAAGTTCCTTATTCTCTTGAACAGCAGTTATTGTAAATCTAAAATAATTGATTACAATAAGGTTTCAATTAAATAAATTAGTAACAGATCAGACCTACGTTAACATAGCAATCAATAAGTTAAGGATTAAAATATTCACAAATAATAGATGAAATGCTAATAAAATTTGTGTTGCCACATTTTTTGCATCAGCGCCACCAGCTATAACAAGAAAGTTGAAAACACTTACACACTGAAAGTAAAATAAACGTGACAAGTAAAAAACTGTCATTGATGAATCAGCGGTTGAAAAAGCACTAATCAAAATCCATGCTGTAAGCATTGTTCTCAAAGAAGCTTCAGGAAAGAGGTACAACAAAAATTTCTAAATTTCATTTATAGTTGCTTAGTTTTATCACAGTTGAAAGTAACATCAGACATCGATTAACTAGGCTTATCGAGACTTGCTGAAAAGAAAATTCGGATCTTTTCCGCAAAAAACAGATTTCCTCTACTAAATTTATTCATTAACAGACCAAAATTTGTAGAAAATGCGTCATAGTGACTGCTTGAAAACAGCGTTTTTATACTCTTGATCAGAAAAAATTATTTTCGTTGGTCCTATTTTATTCCAAATCGGACAAACTTCGCCAAGAAAAAAATGTTTATCAATCTTTCCAGACGACCTCAATATTTTTGACAGTGTCGATTCTATCTACAATCAATGGAGAAAAATATGAGCAATATTCGTTTTTCTAACTGAAAAAGGTACCTTGCAATGCTGTTCTTTCATCATCATAAGTGCCATAAATAAAATAATAAACTGGATGAAGAATATTGCTAAATATCTGTCCAACAGTGAAATCAATTGTGCCATATAAATACATAGCACGAGATGTTACACCATAAGCACTAATAGCAATTAGCATTATAAAAAAGAAAAATAGTAAATCGTTACTCTATAAATATGAAAGTGAAAAATGGAAGGCATTTGACAAAGTTATTTCACTCGTTGATATACCGACCATTTTTCTTATCATAACCAATTTTGGACCAAAATTTCTGCTCACACCAATAAATAAAAATGACCGTATAAACCAAAGTTCCAGATCATAAGCCATTACAATTCTAGAGATTCCAAAAGAATCGATTAATAAAAATGTTAATTTTTATTATTGGCACTTTGTTAGATTTACCTGGGGATGGAAAATGTATCGTTAGTCTTATATATAAATCGCAATATTAATCCAATATAAAATAGAATGTAAGCAGGAACTATAACAACTACATTAGACGATCGAGTTTTTATATCAAAATAAGCTTTAAATTTTCCCAGAAGTGGATGATCTTGCATAAAAAACTAGAATGGAAGGAGTATGTTGTTATTATGGACATTACTTACTCTGCTTATTATACTAAGTTAGTTACTACGAAAAGTTCCTTTGACTGTCGCAAAGAAGAGTTTAGAAAAATAAAATGTTTGTGTGGCACACAAAGTCATTTTGTGTTTTAAATGAAGGAATTAAATGAAAGGAGAAAACAAATTAATTTCCAAGTTAATTGATACAGACTTCGCATTCTTTTCTCAAAATAGACATTTTGTTTGTGATCCCATCTCGATTAAACTGTATTTTCAGCTCGAAAAAATATTTCTAGAACGAACTAAGAAGTTATCTATTTTTCTCGTTTCTATATTCCGTTTGAGTTACACGAAAAAATCAATATATCTTCAAACACAATATAAACCTATATTTCGATCCAGCTGTATATCTTAACCAAGATAATATCTGACACCGGCTATTACACAAAAATAAATGATGTAGAGTAAAAATTTCAAATTTTCTACAAACATAAGGATTTTGCCTTTGTTGATAACTCGAGGGTTTGACAAATACAATTTCCGGACCCCTTCGAAATTCGTCGTCTTTTCGTCCACAAAAGCTAAATTCTGAATGCCGTATCCCATTTTGAGGTACTGATCGAGGATATAACTACTTCCGCTCATTGTACCTGCTGGCTTTAAGTCTTTTCCTGGCTCTAAACGCTAAATTTGGCTGTAAACCACTTTTTAGGAATTAGCTATATCATCTTTTTGTAGCTAAAATTCAGAATGTCTACTATACATAGACTGTGAAATTTCTTTGATTTTAGTGTACTAAATGCTGAAAACGGCTATCTTTTATTTCTGCACAAGGTCATACCTTAAAATCGTTCTTAGGCTAAGGAAGCAGGTAAAGCTGTATGCATTCTATAACCTCATATTTGATCAGTGGTGGTACTATCAAATGTCAGTAACGAAATTTCTGCTGTTGTAACTGTAATCAGAGTAAAAACTTTAGTGTTTGCACTCTCACACTCACACGGATAAAAAATACATCGGGACTGGCGAAACAAGCTGAGATGCAAATGCTGTTGAGCGGAATACGAAAATTCAAGGACGTAGAACGTGGGGCACACATGAGGACACTTGTTGTTTTTTGAAATTTTTATTTTATTTTTCGATTAAAAAGCTCTTTTATAATGTACTAGTAATTTTACTACCACTGTATTAATACATCTCACTTGAAGTTTTGCCATCTGAACCAAAAATATTTTCTTCATAGTGCCCTCCTCCCCTTGTTTTTACACTGAGTTACGTCCCTGCAAGAATTTCCAGTTATGTCTTAAAACTGCAGTCCTATCAACATTTTCAATACTGTAGTGACACTCCACTGATGTTGAGAACGCTCAAATCGTTGGCAACGTTCATTATCGTTGACAATCCACAATGATGTTGAGAAACTACAATATGTCTGCTCCTCACAGTCAAGTGATAAGATGGACGCCTGTCAACCTAACTTATAATAATACTGTAATTAAAACTTAACGTAACAACGTAGGATTGCCATCTATAAAAAGTTCTGTTGATAAACTGAAAACAAGTTTTTATTTACCTGTCTAACGTCTTCAATCAGCATGGTTGTGATAAAAGTAATGGTCAGTATTTCTGTCCAGTGAATTGGATTTTTAGACGTGACTGGTTTAAAATTAAATAACATAAAATAACTGAAGAATAATAGAAAACATACATAGCCAATCTAAAAAACGAAGAAAAAGAAAGTACATCAAAATTATTTGGTATTTATTTTGGTGATCAATGTGACTGTCTGCTTTCTATTTACACAGTGATAATTGTATTTTGCAACAGGTGAGTTATGGAAATGTTGGAAACGTTGCATTGCTGAACTTTTTGGCCCATAATCATCGCTATAATTAATTCCATTGTCTTTCAACCTTGACAAAAAATAACAGGAAAATATGCTTACATTATTGAGTCTTGCACATTTACTCTTTTTATTTCATAGAGAATAGGGTAAAATTAGCACACCGTTGAAAATGTGCGTGGTAGAAAGAGTTTTTCATTCTTCAGAAAAGAAACGACTTTTTTTATTTGGTGGATAATGGAAAAATATGCCGAACGATAGTGTCGGATAGATGAAATTTTGCTTTTGGTATGGCATCTTTGTAAGCGTAGTGAAAAAAGATGCAGCGTACACATATTTCGAAAAATAGTCATACCTTGATTCATTCTTATTTTCCACATTATTTTTTGTTACCGCTCGTTTTTGTTCTAATAAACACTTGATTGTTGACGGTATATCAAAGGTCAATAAATCAAAATAAAATTGATATTTTGTTCTCAATGGTTCGATTCGATCATACCATATATTCGTTAATGCGACTTGACATGTTTCTTCATGAAGAAACTTTTTATTATCAGCAGCCGCAGCTACCTTAAAATAGGAAAATTAATAAAATATTTTGACTACAAATAATTACCGTCACCACTATATACTTGTAAACAGGTAACACCACCAAACATATCAACTTCACGTATCACTAATTCACATGCATATTCTTTATCATTATTATAACAACATGTTAAACATTCAATAGCAAATGATACGAAATAATTAGCTTCTTGTTCATATTCATTCCGAATTGCACGATCATATTCACGTCGAGCTATTGCCTTGATGATTTTTGCTGCTATCAAAGATGCACATATCCGTGTTCTCATATGTTTTAAAAATAATTTTGCCATTTCAATTCGATGTGTTAATATTGACCATAGAAATAAATCACGATAAACATATTCTAATTTAATATCGTTATGTGTTCGTGTTTTTTCAATTTTTCGAAAACATGCATCCAATGACGACGACAGATAATTTTTTATTTTAGATGTATATAATGGTTCCATATAATCACCGATAAGATCGGCTAAAACTTCATTTAGAATAAGAGGTGTACATTTTCTTTCTGTTACATGAGCATCTTTTTCTTCTCGAGCTTTTTTTGGAAAGATTTTATGAAAGCAACAGAGACGATCTGACTGGAAACAAAAAGAAAATTGAATAGTTAACTATCTACCAATTTATTAATCAATGAACTAGCTTACTTTACGTTCGATATCGCTTTCGTAAAGTTTGCTTAAATAATCAAATTCATACTGTTTCAAAACGGATAATTCGCTTCGTACATTCCATTTATATATATTTTCTTGTATTTGATCAGATACTTCTGTTTCTTCATTAATCAATATTAATGATAAATCTAAACCAATTCTAAGAAAATTATCTACAAATGTCGGCTGTGTTTCTAATAAAGCTTTTATTAATAAATTCTTCCGTTCTTTAATCTGGATAATAATACAAATTAAATACAATGAAACTCATCATGTTCGTTCAGAAAAATTCAAACATACTTCAATTGTATCACCAACAAGTATATAAAGTCGTTCTTTAGCTGCTTCAGCACGACTCCAACTGATTGCTGTTTTTAATTCATCTCGAATCCAAATTGGAATTTGAGTTTTTTTTGACAAATTGTCACGAGCTTAATAAAATTCAGAGAAAAAAAAATTAAAAAAAAAGATTCGATAATTTTCAGCTGATATAAGAGCATAATTTGGAGAAAACAGCATTTTTCCCTTCCATAAGAAAAGATTTTGCCAAGGGAAAAGAATCTAGCAGTTCAACTTTGAGCAAGAGAGCCTCCCTCTTGCATTTCTCAAGAGTCTGATAAAACTCGTGAGATTTTGAAATGTATGAACGATTCTTCCAAAACCCCGTTAATCATAGAGACTTGACGATTGGAAAAGTTTGTTTTCTATATGTATTTCGTACTCTTGTACGGCATAACGGATGAAACTTTGCACAGTTTTACAATATATAGTACTCTACAAAAGTAGAGCCATCTCTCAATCTCAAAATAAATGAGAGATAGCTGCTTCGAATCTTATGCGAATGTAGCACTTGTGTAAATAATCGATAGACACTGTCGAGTAGTTGGTATAATTTTTTGAGTCCAAAAAAGACTGAGTTATAAATTCGTTTTCAGAAAGAATCTGACATTTTAAATGTGACCTTCGATCGTAAAGTAGCTGAATTTCAGTAATCATTCAGAGTCAGGAAACAAAATTCATGACATAGATAGAAAACAGTCAGGACTACAGTTTGGTAAAAGGAACAAGGGTTCATCTCTCGTGATCAGAAATTATTAGCATCTACGAGACTCATATATGTCATAAGCCATCAGTAAAAGAGACCCATATTGATGAATTAATCAGCGTATGAACTGGTCTACACCCGCAAAAGATTCTAACCAGGGACGTCTATCCCCACCTGAATATTTGAAGTATTTTGTACCACCTCGAAGGTTCGATTACTCAGTGTACTACCTAAAAAATTAAGTTCTGCGTACCTTACGTTTGTCTGAGGCATTGCACCTCAAACGTCTCACAGGATAGACGCTCCTGATTCGAAGCACCTATTTCTCATTGGTTTTGAGATTGAGAGATGGCTCTACTTTTATGGAGTACTGCGTATTATGTTGTATCACTCTCACTAAACAGTACAATAAATAGAAATATAGATAGAGAGAGAGAACTGAATAACCGCGCTTGAGTAATCTTAGTTCGTGTATTCCTAAGAATATCACATGCAATATATTTCTTTTCATCATCTATTCCGATTGATATCATTCATTCTTTAAATTACCTTGTATGCATGATTCATAAATAGAATCATACAGCGTTTTATTGCTTGAAAAATTGAATATTCGTATATTATGTCGATTTTCTGAATCAAGACAATATAGAAACATGAAAACCATTTTTTTCAAATATATTTTATCAGCAAGATTTAATAGACCACGCTCCGACTGTTTAGATGAACCAAATTGATTTAATTTTTCATCTTGAAGTATTTGAGTTAATCCTTCGTGTACTTCATTTATTTGTAATTTAAATTCTTTTAAAAGCTTTTCCTGTCTACGTATGAAAGATATGTGAGTACATTATATTTAAAAATCAAAAAAATACGACTTACTGGTCACGATCAAAATTTTCAATTTCATCATATTTCAAATATTCATCTTCTTCCGGTTGATATTCCATATCATTTTTAATTGTTTTGTCAGAGATACCAGAAGTTTCTTTTATGGCATTTCGTTTAAGAAATTTTGCTAGTAAATCGGCTAGTGGTCCACTACCCTAAATATGAAATTATATTTGAACAGATAAAATAAATATATACAAAATAATATTTGAACAAAAATTCTGATATAAATTTTATTTAGTATTAATTGAGAATGTTTTTCGATCATTCAGGACTTTAGAAGAAAAATGTGCACATCGACCGTCATAGAAGAATGCGGCAGAATATGTCACTTACCTTACATTTCTGTATTACTGGTGTTTTTATTTTTTTTCAACTTGTGCTACCGTGTGCTGTACTCATGACTATTTGTTGGTGAACTGACGTGACGTGTCAAATTGTTATGCAGGTGGTTTAGTGAATTGTTGTTATATGATTTTTTACGAGAACTTTTTCTCGATGGTTACGTTACATAAGGCAGGACTAGAAGTTTATGAGGTACCTTTTTTAGAACCTTAAAAAGGTTATTTGCCCATTGACAGTTCAGACCAGTAACAACTATCATTCAGCTTCACCTGACTCTAAACTGTGAGTTAGTAGAAAAACAAGACTCACAGCATCGTTGGTTTTGTCGTATACGTTGGGGGGTTATGTATGCAAGGAGAAACTGGCGTTTTATGCGGCAAAAAATCAATGTTGGCTAATCAGGAAGGCAGGAGAAATAAGCACTAAAAATGTTTTGTAACTCGAATAAAATCGATTCAGTCATCGCGACCAATTGCATTACACTAGAATCACGAAAACTAGACAATAACTATATTGATCCTGATAATTGATGTTGATGCACGGGAGGTACAAGAAGAGCACAGAAGGGGAAAACTTCAATAGCAACGAATATACATTAGCTTAATCTGTCTGTATAACAAAATTTCATATGACTGTTTTCGGTTTGCAAAGCTTCGGCGATGTAAAGACAGTCTAAAATCCGGGTTTTCATTATAGAGTATCCTAGAGCGTCAATTAGTTAACTGTTGTGAAAGGAACAAAACCATTGTTCTAAGCGTTTTACGAGTTTCGGAAACTTTTAGAAAATTTGGTTGAAAGGTCGAATTAGAAAGCCACTCCTAATAGAAGGCCATTCTAAAAAGTTTGACCTGTTGGGACACAGTAGAAGCCATGATGCCCTTCTATTGTGGGGAAGAGAGGCTGCCAGAATTAAATTGAAAGTGAAAATACCAAAGTGAAGCAACATTTCTGTCATGTTTTCACATTTCAGGAAATATAATAAGTGTTTACATCACAATTAATATTCTGCACAATTTACCACTAAAATAATATGCTCTTCAAGATGTACCATGAATAATTCGGAAAAAGAATATTAAACGCCATTGAAAAAGTGTGTTCGAATATGTAACCAATGAAGAGCATTCAAAACTACTATCTGTTTTAATGAATCACGAACTCCGATGTTTTGCTTATATCTTCTTAAGAAAAAGAGCTATCGTCCTGTGCTTTTCAGATTCTGAAACTAGACACTTTCGGCTGTAAACCTATGAAGAAATCAGATTTACCATGGTATATCATTCGAGACAAATTCGAAAGTTCACCGTTTCCTGACCACACAACGAATTCCGAACTTAAACAATACCAATCGATAGCCAACACATCGCTTAGTGTGCTTCAAATATTTTTTGTGCCGATTTCTATTATAGAATATAGTTAAACAGTTAAAATCAAGTATATATTGATATTCTGAAGTAGTTTGGAAGAGTTTTGAGTGGTTATCAATTTTCTAATTTTCGGTGCAAATAGTGGAAAATGGATTATTTCATAATTAAAACAAAAAAACGTTTGGATCACACGGAAAATTTTGCAGCAGTAGCATAACAAAAACAAAAGGTCCCAAAATCGAACGTTGGGAACGTCCAGAATTACCTATACAGCTTGTCAATGTTGCATCTTAAACCACCGTCCATGTTCAACAATCACGTAGATAAGACTTGAACAGTCGATAGTGACTTCCTAATACCGTCATTCACCAATTTATGCAACAAGTCTCTGTGCCAAACACAGTCGAATGCCGCGTTGACATCAAGAAACACATCTTGAATAAATCTCCAGTCATCAGTGTTTTTATCAGTATAGTGAATAGTATCATGCAGTTTATCTGTTATACTGGCGGTTTTTTCGAAATCTTGATTGATGTCGGGTCAACAAACTATTTTCAATGAAATACGCGAAGACTTTGTGATGGATTAGACGGTCGCACAATTTGAGAAAAGCGCTAGCAACCTAATAGGGCGATAATCAGATATATTATGAATATGACCAGCTTTGAAGAGTGTATTTACGTAACCTAAGTTTCCGTAACTCGTATGTATTCCTACTGTGAATGAAGATGATATGAGATCCGCTACAGTAAACAAAGTAACTATGTTACAGGTATACGTGAGATTCAACTGCATATAACCGGAGCACCAGTTTTATCGGTGTTCAAATTTGACAGTAATTTGAACATATCACCACTAATAATAGAATAATAGCTGAGTGCCTTATAAAGTGTGAAACCGACTTGAATATATCAGACGCATATTTCAGTACGATCCAGACTATTTTTAGAGTTTCAGCAAAAATCGACTAGCACAAATTGATGTAAAATTTACAAACTTTAGTAAATCTTTTAATGATCTTGATCAGGTCTCTGGTATGTAAAGAGTCAGAACACAGATTTTCTGATCAAATTCAAGAATTTTAGATCTAAACACAGATTTTTTAAAATAAAACCAGAACAAAAAAATATGAGATCAGTTTACAGATTTTTCGTCGATCAAGTGACGTTCTATTACTCTAGCTTAATGTATATTGATTTTTTTTAATATAATCCAACACAACAAATATTTGTCCTTGTACTTCCATATGCACAGATCAGAAAAGATAAATATTCAAAGAAAACCTTTTTTCTATTTCTATCGTCGACAAAAGGTATAACGGATACATATATATCGTATTTCGTTTCTCTTTTTGTTACATGTAGTGCATCATCGTCAGATTTTATGTTGTAAAGAAAAAGAAGTTAAAAAAGAAATATGTACACAAAGTTTTAATTTTGTGCCTTAAACATCACAGTAATGCAGATGTACCAAGCCAAATCTAGTTTCACATTTTCTTATAAGGACTGTGCACTATATGAGCGAGAACGGTTTCTTTTATCCGTGACATGACATTACCAATTAAAAAAACAATTATAGGATTGTTGCATAACTACTTCACTCAGGTCTCATGTATGCATGAGACCTGAGTGAGGGTATGTGGTGCATAGTCATTATATGATACAGTTATAGATATACAGTTTCGCATTATGAAAATATGTTTTGTATGAAACTACTTTTCGAACTCACTTCCACTCTGGCAACACCCTCCCACTGCCAAAAATATCCAAATGTGTACTGTGAAAAATTCGTAGAAGAGTCGGGCGGCTTGTCCAGCTAACGGCCTCCATTTTTTGCTGTTTTTCAAAAAGTTATTGCAATAAAGCTACAAACTAATCTAAAATGGCAACTATTCTAATTAATCTGTATTAATCAAAGAAAAATCAGCAAAACGATAACGCTGTGACAAAAAACAGTCAAAAGTGTCACAGTTTTCTTTTGATTAATACAGATTAATTAGAATAGTTTCGAACTTGACAAGCTGTCACATCTTGTAGAGCGAACAAGTTTCTACAAACTGGTATACTTGTTCAATGTTTACCAGCTCGTCTCCACTCTTTTAGACACACTTTTCAGATAGCTTAAAAATCGCTTTTTGGAGCTGTTTGTACAACAGTTGTAATTTCATAATGAATCAGCATTCAGAGCCGAGACACTTTTTCATTTGGTAGAGAAATGTTTAATCTACTTAATCATCTAGTTGCCATTTTAGATTAGTTTGTAGCTTTATTGCAATAACTTTTTGAAAAACAGCAAAAAATGGAGGCCGTTAGCTGGACAAGCCGCCCGACTCTTCTACGAATTTTTCACAGTACACATTTGGATATTTTTGGCAGTGGGAGGGTGTTGCCAGGGTGGAAGTGAGTTCGAAAAGTAGTTTCATACAAAACATATTTTCATAATGCGAAACTGTATCATATAATGACTATGCACCACATACCCTCACTCAGGTCTCATGCATACATGAGACCTGAGTGAAGTAGTTATGCAACAATCCTAGAATTGGTTTTTTGGTGCATCTACGAAAATAATTGTATCTCTCAAAGTATTTGTTACCAATTTTTATCCACAATGTAGGATTGTAGCGTTGACGTTTCTCTACAAAACAGGCTATTCGAAAATTTTGCGTCAGTATTAGATTAAACATTCTAGACAATTTTTCAAAAAGTAGAATTGAAATTGGAATTGGTCGAAATTGGTTAATATTTTCCTTGTTGTTGCCTTCTCAAACATAAATTGAAACTTCGTTATACTTCGTTCTGTAGAGAAAAAGTTAGCGAACAATGCTATGTATGCAAAAACATTTAAAACAAATAGTCTTAGAACTAGACATTATTTTTAATAATCTTCAAAAAAGAATTGGTGCATGCCTATTCGCAGTAATATCGTTCGAGGAAATGTCAGCGTATACTTTTATCTGAAAATGTTGTCAGATAACGTTTGTTTACGCTCTAAAGAACGAAAACAAAGCATTACTTACATCAATAATAACCACTGGTATCTTAGCACGAAGATCATCAAACGTAGCTTCTAATGTATTTAAACCACCGGCGAGAACAATGGTTATTTGGGGTACTTAAACAATGATATAAATCTTTTATTCAAAATAAAGGAAGAAATTTAGTTTTCTATTACTTGCTCTTTGCGCTCCTTGCGATATAGCTCGTACAAGATGTGCTCGATATCGATCATCATACGATGGTTCCAGTGTACCATCATCGAAAAGAATAAATTGTGTATGATTTGGTTCTAACTCTTGTCTACCGTTCAAGTTTTTCGGTTCAACAAAATCCCTTTGTTCTTGCAACGATGCCTATTAAACAAAATTTATCATAAATTTTCTTTTAGTATGCAACATGTAATCGATACTATACCCTTCCCGATGTCTGAGTATTTCCTTTTCGAATTAATTCTTGACGATTTTTTATATTTGCCCAATTTGATACGCCAATAGCATAAATATTTTTGTCATCACTATGTGGATTTCGTAGAAGATTTAATCGATTTTTATAAACAATTTCACCAACTAATCGAGGACCAATTTCATTTTTATTGCCGTTTGTGAAAATCCAAGTATCTTTTAAAAATACTGTAATAAAACATAGCCGTTCGTAGCGAAAAAACATTTTACCTGATCCCAAGACCACATCCGTAATACTTTCTATAAATTCTTTTTCGAAGTGTATATTCAATGTAGAATCAAATCCACCACTAACTGACAAAACTAAAGTTGGTATTTTCATTTTCCACAAATTAAACATAAGAAGTGTTATTGTATCGAGCGAAGTGGCAATGTCACAGCGAATATACTAAAGAATTAAATATTATTGGATTTAGAAAAGTTTCTTGTGGGATTTACTGCACAACAATCATAACCGAGCTTTCTTAATTATCTTCGCCAACTTCGACGAAATTTTCACAGTTTATAATTGAGCATAAACGGAAATTTCATTTTGGAAAAATGCTTGATCGAACAGTTCTACAACTTTTTTTTTATTCTCTGTGCAAAAAATCTGTCAGAAATCGGCTTTTTAAATTCTTATTATCCTTCAACCGTAATGTTTCATGACAAAAAATATTCATTCGCAAGTGGACATGCAACGATAAACCGCTTTATAACAGCTTAGTGTATATTTGATATTCTTGGATGTTTGTTTACACTAGAAGTAGACGAGGATGGACTTTGCCTCGACATTCTAATGCATCTGCTATAGTGACAGTCTGCACTACACTGCACAACAAAAACCGCTGTTAAGTGACAGCATCAACCACGATTTTTCAGAGTAATTTGAGTACCACACAGGTTTGAAGTGCATCCGTGTCACTAAACGTCAGGCACTAAAACGTCGGAGCAAAGACCATTCTTGTCTACTTCTAATGTAAACAAATATCAAAGAACACCAAATATACACTAAGCTGTTATAAAACGGTTATTTGTGGTTGCGGTCAACCGTTTCACCCCGTTGCGTGCCTATTCACGAGTACTTTCATTAAAAGTAACTCTACATTGTGATACACTCGAAAAAATTTTGCCTTTGAATTACTTCAAGGTCCGAATTTGGAGTTTCAGTGTACAACAACCAAGTCCATCTAGAATCTGTATTTATATTATATGCATAATAAAAATGTTTTGCTACAAATGGCTATAGCGAGAATCCGATTAAAGCCTTACATTTTCTTGGATAGACTGTGCTTGTAAAAGTCGATTTTTACCCTAGTTTACTCTTCCAAACAGGATGTTCTTCCAGATATAGAACATAAATCTTCGTCAACAAATATTTTCAGCATCAGTTTATCAAATGCTATTTCAAAAGTTCTGATATTTTACTAGTGAGCTTTAACATACATTAGTTTAACTGAGATTGATTCAACCTATTATAATTTGATAGAAAATATTTCAACCTGATTTTTCAAACTACAATCATATTCATAATCCATACATTATCATCTGTGGAACTGTGTATAATACTACTATCTGTAGAAGGAACAGCAGTGCCATCGATGATTTTTTGACTAACTATTGACAGGAATGGGATACTTGTCCTTTGCTCCATTCGAGAAAGAAGATTTAGGCATATTTCGATAAGCACAAATCTTTCTAGAAGAGTTTCTTAAAACATGCGCCAAGGCGTTCTCCGATACGATTAAATTGAGTAATTTTTCATCGATTGATAGTCCAGAGTGTCCTCTTTAAACTTGAGATCAAGCGAGATCTTACTTCCCAATGGTCTGAGTATGGTATCGCATTTCCTTTGAGATAATCAGTGATGCTGAGTCTTTAACTAGGACTTTCAAGCTCTTCGTCACCTAATATTAAAAAACTAAGTACTTGTAGAACAAACAACACAACGAGTTCAAAACGTTAAAATGTACAGTATTTAGATTATTTTATATTATATTTATAAGACTTCTACAAAAAAGAATTTAAAGGGCACATGATTTTCATTATTGATTACTTCCAAGGAAATGTAATACTATACCCAAACCCATTGGAAAGCAAGATCTCGCTTGATCTCAAGTTTGAAGAGGACACTCTACAACATCAATCTATGGAAAATAAATCAATTTAATCCTATGAGAAGTTTCTGAGACATAACAAGATTTTCTAAAGAATGCCTAGGAATCTGTTTTAAGAGACTCTTCTGAAAAGATTTATGCTCTCAAGTCTCCTTGTTAAAGATAGTAGGTATGTAGACATATCAGTCATGGGGGAGCTAACAAAGTCTGAAGTATATAATTCCAGTTATGGCTGACAAGAGAACGTATCCAACTGTCAAATCGCTTTCGAGCCTAAACCTAGTGGACTATAGGTAGACGATCATGCTGATTTCGAATATGATAGCCGTTTTTCCCCATAGGCCTTTCCTAACCGGTTTCTGAAAAACTAGTTTTCCAGAACCTTGAAAAATTCCCAAGGGTTTTTCTAAATAAGTCACAACTGTAGCCCGCGAAATTCTGATTAAAATGAGACATCTCCCAGCTCCACATGACCTTTCTTTGCAAAGTTATAGAATTCACAAGAAAAGATCTAAATGTTTATTGTCATCACCTCAGAGCTACATATTCGGAATCAGCATGATCGACTACCTATAGTCCACTAGATTTCGGCTCGAAAGCGATTTGACAGTTGGATATGTTCCCTTGAGAGTGCAATCCGGAGTTCTAAACGTCACAAACAAAAAAACGAAGAGCCTTTCCAAATGAAATAGAAACTTCCACGTAAAAGTCAAATATACTTTTTGTTCACGTTAATTTTATATATTTCACTATCTTACTTGTGCTCCTGTACTTTCTAAGTTACCATAAGCATCTGTTAATGCAGTTGTAGTATATCGCCGTATCCACTTGGCACGAGGATGCTTTTTCAACCAGATATTGTATGGATCTAAGTTTTTTCTCGTGCTAAAATTAATTGGAAAAATATTTTTGTAGTTTACAACTGTTTGAAATAGAAAAAACTTTATACTTGTCATTTTGTTTTGTTGGAATCGATGTATAATATCGTCGATTAATCTTTAGTTTTTCAATCCATCCTTGCGAATACCATTCTCCAGTACTCTGGAAAAATGAAAGAAAAGGGATATAACTATTATTGTGACAGAAAAACACATTACACAAACCGTATTCGTATTGAAACTCATTGTTGACTAAAAACCATTAATCGAGAAAATCAGTAATGCGGACTGATTTAATCGCTATTGACTATAATCATCTAAAGTATAGTCTGTTGAAGTATGAATAAAGCGTGAAAACTTTACTTGTTGCAACAAGTTTATGACAAATTTCAGTTTTCACAGTTTCTGTTCGAACCAAATTAAAGCGGATTTGTGAAAACAACGAAATAAAACAAAATCATGAAGATAACCTTAGTGAATGTACTTGCCCAAGTACCTTCGCAAGTTTTGTCAAACGTTCTTGACCTTTTTCGCAAGTAAATCAAGTACTTGAACTACCTGATCTGCTTGTCAAGCACTTGGCTAAGTACTTGCCCAAGTAACCCGCAAGTATCTGAGAAAAGTTTGACAAGTAAACGACGGACTTGGCAAGTGCTACTCTTAAATAAATTCTAAAAGTGCTTGAAGTACTTGGGAAGTACATAACAAATAATATGTGTGTGTTGGCAGAAGTTTATTCTATTATTTTATTTTTATTTTAACATAGAGACTTCGTAAGAAACAATTCTGATGAATGTGCTCGTAAAACGTGACTATGTAAGGAGTGTGATCATTCATGTTATTTCCATTGCTCAACTATTCTGAATGAATTTAATCAAATCTGATCAGTTCTCTCCAAAAAAACGATTTACTATAAAATCCATAGAAACTGTAGAGAATTCCAACCATCTCTTACTCTTAAGGATGTTTGATGTGAATTTTGGTATATTGTTTTTGTACTTTTTCATCTTATTCTTAAGTGATATAAAACCGGACGGAAACAGTCACAGTATTAAGCAAAAAAAAAGGCAGGAGACGATACATAGAAATAGGAAGAGAATCTGTTCATTCTTAACCTTACTACCAACTACCAGCATCTTCGATAACCAACAAACCACTATGTTTCGAGAGAATTATAAGAAAAAGCTTTTCCAAAATTGCTCCTACTAACAGAGCCGGAAAATATTTCTAACAAAATGAAGATTAACGCTTAGAAAACTTGAGTCATCGATTTTACTCAGAACTCGATGCTGACCACGACTATATATTTTTCTGACAAATATTTGAGCCTTAACTCCACTTATCCTTTCAACAGATGTTGTAAAACATTTTTGACTCTATTTGAGCTTTATTATACTCGCAAAGCACGCCATGGCTGCCGAAAAACCGCAACATTCATAGAAATAAGTGTAACCGAGACAATTGATATATTCAGCAACCCAGCAAAATAATAAAAAATTCTTTGCACTTTCGAACGAAATAAAAATATTAACAATTGAAACAATGTACAGAGAATACCTGAAAGAAGTTAAGAGAAAGAATACTTTTTGGGTTTCGTACAATTTCAAGCACAAAAAATGTATTTAGTAATGCCTCATGCAACTGGCTACATCAAACATGAGAAAGTTAAATCGAAATACTGGTTGATACATCTAGATATACCCTGTTCACCCCCAGATGTATTTTGTGGTACATCTAGTATCAAACTTTTACACGATGTTGCTGCCAACGTATCTGACAAATGCATCTAGTGTAACTCGATTTCCAAGAATGAACTAGTAATAAACCGTCCTGCTACAAGTTAGAACAACCATTAATTATCGTCTTTCACCGTGAAGTTTGACTTGTACAAAGTCGAGTTCAGCAGTAAAAATTAGAAGATTAAATTTACCACTTATTTGTCTCGATATTCAACTTTCAAAAACACTTTCTTCCTAATGAAAAATCAGAAATACAATTTTTTGGTTAATTTTTGATTTTCCACTATGCCGAAAGTATTTACCAAAATTGAGCGCAGAGACTAATAGGTGACAAATTCAATTTCCTAAATTTCATTTGTTGGACTCAACTTTGTACAAATCGACTTTCACGGAATAAAACAATATTTGCTAATTTTTATCATGAAGAAGGTTTTCTACAAACACGGTTACAGCAAATAGTTTTTGGGAATTTAAATTTTCTATATTTCATTTTCGAGCCTCGACCCTCAGAAATGTATTCTACAAAGTGAGGAATGTTAATTACTCTCAATTAATATTTTTTAACGTTAAGTATTTTGTCTGAAAAAAGAAGCAAAGGAATGAAAAAGATATATTCCTAAGCTAAATTCATTGAGTTCCTGTGGTGTGGTAGTGGTATATAGAGAGAAGATTGCTAATCTTTAGGTACAGAGTTCGAATCTTTGCAGCAGCGTTATTTCTTTTTTCCCGTATGATTCAAAATCCGATGCACAGCATGCAACTAGTTTATACCAGTTTTTAGCTCATGTACTTTGGTACTAGATTCATCTGATATTGCATCGTATAATAAGGTCAAATCCGATGTATCTAGCTTACCCGATATTTTTTACTATTTTATCTAGAGACTTTTGCTGGAGCATTGCGCTCGATACTTCAACAAATATAACTAGATATTTTAACTTACAATTTCGTACTTGAGAAAACTTTTTTCAAAATGTACCATTTGATCCTTTTCATTTTTCTATATAAGCCTGAATTATAAGTGTTCTATTAAAAAAATAAAACATTATTTATGTTCTTATTCTGTGAAAAAACTCTTTCAATTGTCACATCAAACCTTAAACGTTCGCAATGTTCGTTTTCTTCTTTAAAAATACACGAGGGAGTGATAATCTTATATTTTTTTTCACATCAGTTCGATTTTTCATTTTTTTCGTTTCATTTGACAGCTCAAATTTCTGATTTTCTTCAATTATACTTGCAATTTCACTATTCAAATTTAACATTGTCATTCTATCTTCATAATTAAACATTTTTTGATTATTGTCGTCTGTAGTAAAATTAAATATTATGCATTTGTTATGTATATTGGCATTAGCACTTGTTAATAATTCAAACCAACCTTCTGTTGTATAATTTTTCTTTAATATAATCTTATCTTTTTTTAAATCTAATACATATTTAGCTATCTGTCGACAATATCTTGATGAATAAGAATATTTTGTTGCTACAACGACAAAAATCGAGGCATGTATCACCAAAAATTTTATTTCATCCCAAGATTTAATTTCATCATTATCATCGTCTATTACTAATGGATAAACGGTAAATATTTGTGGATTAATTAATTGTTTAACAGACTGTTCATCTTGACTGGAATAGCAAAATAGAACAAATGGTTCTGAAATTTTATATAATGATGAATTTTTTGATAAAGTTGATGGTACTATTTCATCAAGATTATGTAAAATACATTTAGCTATTTCCGCTATTTTATGATCTATTTCAGATAGTGAATGTAAAAGAAATATAAGAATACCGTTTGATTTTAATTGTTGTTTTATTTGTTCATCATCAGAGTAAAATGTTATACTCCACAGGATTTTCATTAATGATTCACATGCCAGTTTACCACGACTATCACCATGAGTAATTGTACCATAGATTGATAGTAATGCGTCAGAAAATACTTTTATTGAATCTTTTTTATCAATCAATAAAAATGTTGATGATGTTGATGAGATAGATGATGATGTTAATGAAGAAAGAGACGAAGAGCGTGATGATAGTGTTGATGAATGATGTGATGATACTTTATCTATTTCAGGTTCTGTGTTTGTTAAAAAATATTTAACAATAAAATCCGAAATAAATAATTTTTCTAATACAACTAATAATTCAGATAAATGATAGGAGTCATTTTTCAGTTGTTTATGTTTAATTAGGTTACGACATGCTCCTAAATTCAGATTGAAAAGTCTATTAAGGATATTTTTTATTGAATCTTTCGATTCTTTTAAAAATGTTTCAATTAATTCATGTCCATCAATCATTATTAATCCCATATAATAAACTATATTCATGTCATCATATTCATAATTTTCAATTGTTGAACGTATTTTATCTAATATCACAATAGCATTTTCTTGTTTAAATGCATTTTGTCCTTGTTTCTGACGTACAAGATTATGTACAATACTAACTAATGGACGTCTATGTTCAAATAGTATAGAAGGCAATTGTATCCAATCTAATACGGCTTTTGCATAATCCGTTTCAATAAATGCTGATACAAATATTGGTTTATCAACAAGATTCCATATTATATGTAAAATTGATAAGCAAAGTTTATGATCGTAGTCGAATATAAAACTTTCCGTTAATTTATTATTTTCATATTTAGAAAAATATAATGTCAAATAATTTTTAAAATTTATTAATGTTGTTTTAAATTGTTGAAGATCATTTGATTCATACATATCATTAGAGTGTAATGCATAATTAGCTACTGTTATAATAACATCAAAAATACTTTCATAGTATTGACATATAGATAACTCATTTTCTTCATTGTTATTGTTATTAGATATTGAATTTTCTTCATCATCATTAGATGTAAAAGATATTGTTGCAATATTATCAGTCGTAGTAATGATAATTGTATTTTGATATAATTCAAAATATTTAAAAAAATTTTCCTTTTTATTAATAATTTCAAATAATTGTTTAAATATTTTACATGAACGTAATTTATCTTTATCTAATAATTCTTTAATAATATCAAGATTAGCAATTTCTGGTACTACTTCAAGTAAAAATTTTTTTAATGGTTTTAGTTCTAAATATGATGTACGTTTATTAATAATACGTAACACAAATTGTATTATATATATTAATGATGTTAATTGTGTAAACTCTTTTTCATTTGTACTATAATTAAATTCTAATAAATATTTAGAATTTTTTATTAATTTTTCACAACTTTCTTCAATTTTTGAATGATCATCACCAATTTCTAACGAATTTTCTAATATTTGAAATTCTTTTTTACCATTAAACACGTCTGATTTTTCTTTATTATGCTTTGTCTTAGTGTCCACAATTTCTGTTAACTGAGCATCCATTTCTGTATTTGAATATTAATAAAAATTGGATAGCAAAGTATAGAAAATTATAACAAAAATGGAAATATAGATTACTGTAATATCATAAGGTATTTCTCTGATTTATATTTAAAAATATCATTTGCCGCATATTTCCTATAAAATAATAATCATAGACAATTCCACATTTTTTGCGCTTAAAAATTTTCAGAACGCAGATTAAACTTCAAAAGAAAATAACAATTGACTGACGTTTAACACAATCAGAATATATATATTTATAACAAAATATTTGAAACAAATGTCTGGATAAATGTGCTTATTAGAAAACTGCGGACATAAATTTTCCAATGAGCCATTGCAGAGGAAATACAACAGACAACATCATATGAATTCTTAATGACTAACACAAATCTTGATAAACTTCACATACTATATAATTAGATCTAATCTAGATAGAAATAGTCGTAATAGTACTCAAATGAACATTTCGTTCGAGAGTTAGAAGTTTCTGAAAAGTAGAAGTTACTCGATAAAAGGTCAAAAATTTGAGTAAAATAAAGTAAAACTAAAGTTTCTTCGTAATCATAATAAAATACCAATTGAGAAGAAGATATAGAATTCTAACCACAAAAAATTTGATACATAAAACTTCAGCACACAAAATGTTTTTGAATTATTAATGATAATTAGATAGTACTAGGATACGTCTCAAAGAATGAGTTTCATCAACATAGAGAGAAAATAATACATGGCTAAGTTAAGGGGATTAAAGGGGAGCGGGGTCTAACTGAAAACTATCCTTTTTAGTAAAACTTTAGTTATAAACTTATAAATGATTATTTTTCAATAAAATTTTGTATATAGAAGGGAGTACGTATCAAGAATATACTGACAGAGAGATACAAGGGGATCCTGTCCGAACGATCGTAGATGGAGTTGTCGGATATGTAGCTGACAGATCTGTAGACTAGATGTTGCTTTATGTTAGGCGTATTTTCAAACATTAGGCTTGTATGAAAAGTTAGGAAGTGGCAATCTTATATTTGGAACAGCGATCAGATACACCGTGGTAGACCTCATTGATAGAATTGATTTATGCTGTGATGAGATGCTGTGAGATCTTGGCTACAAGACACTGGAAACCGCAGGTCTTCATCTTGTTCTGTTAAAAATTTATTAATAAGATGACCACGGCCACTGTTCATGTGGACAGATAATATATATTACATCCCTTGACCCCTTGTATCTCTCTGTCAGTATATTCTTGATATGTACTCCCTTCTATATACAAAATTTTATTGAAAAATAATCCTTTATAAGTTTATAACTAAAGTTTTACTAAAAAGGATAGTTTTCTGAGTATGGTGAGTTTCAGGTTCAGGCCTCATGCAGGCCTATAAATTCAGAATAATGGCACCAATCTAAAACCACAATATCTTATCCCATAAAGGCGAGTATAATGAACAACTTTTCATGAACAGAATACTTTTGAATGTTTTATTGAGGGAGTGTGTTGCACAAGCAATACGTTTTGCACTAGGTGCAAAACACCTGGGAAAATCGACTTCTCGTAATTTTGAAAGTTTCAGAACTCCACTAAAGCTTATCCAACCCGCGAGTTATTGTAATCCAGATCCTTGGTGTTCTCTACAAACTGACAAAATTTGAAGGAATGTTTAGGCGAGGGAACCCCTCCTTAAGGAAATTCAAAAGTTGAGCACTCTTTATTTTTTTCGATTTCTTTTATACATAGCTGGATAAAGCTCGCCGAGCTGAATCCGAATATGTGTGTTTTAATCTTTCGGATCAAAATTAAAATCGTCAAACTTCTATGTCAAAAAACTTTCATTTGTTTTCGAACTTTTTGACCGAGATTTTTGCGCAAAAATGAAAGTTGTCCAAAATTCCTGATACACACATCAATCAATTCACTTACTGATGCCTATTCCAAATGTGACATCGGTTTTGCAAAAAAAAAAATGGAAGTTTGATGGTGAAAATTGCAAAATACAAGCTAATTTCCTCGTTTTTTGCTACGTATTTGAAAAAAATTAATTTCCTCGACAACGGAACAATATTTTCCAAACCCGATGCTCGACTTTTTTCTTGCTATTATGGCCAGCGGAATGATATAATAATATTGGCTTCATCTCCTATCTAGAGAAACTTGAAGCTTTTTGCGTCAACATGAACGGAATTTTGGCTATTGGTGAAAAACTAAAAGTTTTTAGATCATATCACACTTGAATAGTATCGAAACACTATTTTTCAGATTCGGTTTTTTACGGAGAACAAGAAGAAAGAGCTTCCAAGGTTCCCAAACACATTGTGTTCGAGTTTTACGTTAGTTTTTCAAAATTAAGCTGTTTTTTAAAATTTTAAAGTTTTCAGTTTTTTTAACTTTTCGACATTAAAATATTTATTCGAAAGGTAAAACACGCATATCCGGATTCAGTTCGTCGAGCTCTATCCAACTATGTATAAAAGTCGAAAAAAATAAAAAGTGCTCAACTTTTGAATTTCGTTAACCTTAACTCTGTATAGCGTGCTCGTTAGTTTGCAGTAATTCTTCAGCGTGCAAATATTGTTAAGTGCGTTTTTGATTTTTACGAAGCGTTCAACGTAAAATTCTGAGAAGAAAATCGCAAGAACGAGCGGTGTCAAACTTGTAACATTAGTTTTCTCTTAAAACGCTTGCCAGTCGGATGTGTCGAACGTGTGATCATGTCAACAACAGAAAGAGCTTTCTAGAGTATATGTGCTAAGAATAATCTCAATTCTATCTCATGTGATTATGGTGAAAATTCAGTTTTACTTGTTTATTCTAATCAAATTTTTAGACCTTTTACAGAGCAACAGCTAATTTTTAGAAGCTTCTAACTCCCGAACGAAACATTTGTTTGAGATGATACTTGCAGGCTAGCTCTATCTAGACTAGATCTACATAATACGTGAAGTTCATCAAGGTCTGTCATAATAATTGAGCATCGCCTGTTACAATGCAAACAGAAATCTCGAAACGTAGAGGTTTTCGGACATGCTGAATCATTGGTGAGGTCGGGTTTACTAGGTCTTGAACTTCATAATGTGATTCTAGAAAACCTAGTTTTGGTGCATTGGGTGCATGTTTTTAAAGAAATCGGTGGTAGTAGAGCCCAAGCGAAAACGACCCAATTTTTCGGATTATTTATCTAGATTCAGCTCCACGTACATCTGGATGCATGTGAAGCTGAATCTAGGTAAATAACCCAAAAAATTGGGTCGTTTTTGCTTGGGAGTTATTTAGTAAATATGGACATATAACAGAGTACATATTTCTCTATCCCAAACACTTTTTGTTTACAAAAACTATAATTTGTTTGAACAACAAGGATTTGTGAAGGTTTTCAAAGATCTTTTATAGCACCCAAGTACAATAACTTAAAACTGTTTTGTCTTTTGTTTTAAACTTGCTAAACAGATGACATCACACATATATAGAACAATACAATGAAATTTTTTCGCGCTTTCGTTCTGCATACCAAGAAATATACAGAAGAAATAAAACTACTGAACAATCAATGTACCCCTATAGTACAGAATAATAAAAAATGCTTTTTACGTTATACTAATAACACATTCACTTTCCGTGTTTGAATACGCCATACGGCGTATGCGGTAGTGAATGTGTTATTAGTATAACGTAAAAAGCATTTTTTATTATTCTGTACTATAGGGGTACATTGATTGTTCAGTAGTTTTATTTCTTCTGTATATTTCTTCATATTCAGAACCAAAGCGGCAAAAAATTTCATTCTATTATTCTATACGTGTGTGATGTTCATCAGTATTTTTTGGTTAAGACTTATGACATGCTCAGTGGTAGGATGCTTTTCTTTCAGATTATAAGCAAAACTCTAAAATCACTTCAAGAGTTCACCTGTCGTATTTATTACGTGTGATTATTTGCAAAAAAATCACGAACTATATCAAAAATCTTCGAAAAGTTGTCAAAATCCTATTCAAAATCTTTTTTCAAAATTGCTAAAAATTAATTAATCTTTTAGACCATCGGCAGAACATGTTAAGCAGGAATATATAACACTACTATAACAAATGAGGCATATGGCATTCACTAACGAGGGAACTTCCCGAGGTGATAAATGAAACGAAAAAATGAATGAAAAAATGAAACATCCCTGAGCTCTACACGACCTTTCTTTGCAAAGTTATAGAATTTATAAGGAGAGCCCTAAATTGTTCATTGTCAGCTCAAAGCTGCTGAGTTTTGAACTGATTAATACCTAAGAAGGAAAAAATTCATTTAGGGCACTTCTTCTAAACTCTATAACTTTGTAAAGGAGGGTCGTGTAGAGCTGGGGATGTTTCATCTTAATCAGAAATTTGCGGACTACAATCCTGCATTATTAAGAAAGGCTTGGGTTATCCTTTGGGATTTCTGGAAAACTGGTTTTCCAGAAGGCTGGATGTTCGAAGAGCTATAGGGACGCCCCATGGTCATATTCGGAATCAGCACGGTCGATAACCTATAACCCACTAGATGTCAATCAAAGAGCGATTTATCACCTCGGTAGGTTCCCTCATGAGTGTAAAAACACTAGATATTTTCTAGAAAACTCTTTAAATCTTCTGAAAGCCTTCATGCCTGAGTAAATTTTTTTAATGCTCAGATGCATTAAGGATGGTTTCCTATATGAATGTTTTGATTATTACCGCAAAATTCGTTTACGCAAACATTAAATCCATTTGGTGTTGCTGGAAAACCCGTACAAAACCCTAGAGTCATAAGCTGTGATTCTCGCAACCTTAGACACGTAAAGTGTATAGTTTAGCAAGTTTAAAATAAAAGATAAAACTTTTTTAAGTTATTGTACTTGGGTGCTATAAAAGATCTGTGGAAAACCTTCACAGATGCTGAGGTAAATAATGTTTTTTGTAAATAAAAAGCTCTTTGGGTAGAGAAACATGTGCTCTGTTACATGTGCATATTTACTAAATAACTCTACTACCTCCGATTTCTTTAAAAGATGCTCCCAACACCCGTTCAGGCCAAAATCAGGTTTTTGTAGAATTCCGTTATGTACCTAGCAAAACCGACCTTAGCACTGAATTCAGTATGTCCGGAAACCTTTAAGTTCCAAGATCTGTGGAAGTCACTGTTGGGGTCTATGTGCTGTAAGGTTTTTTGTTCTGTTGGAGATACTTTCATTTGGTTCATTCACCTTTTTATTCTATCAAGATCCGCATTGTACGAGTAGAGGAACCAAAAAAACTATAGTCAAAACTTTTCGCAGTGTTTTGTCAAGCATATTCTTTGCTTTGAATTACGGAAGCTACTTTAACCATCTCAGTTATATTGTGCAGCGTTAGTCTCTTTTACCATCAGATACCAACAAAAACCGCAGCGAAAAGAAACTTGAAAACGGTGACCTTCGATATTCTCGTGCAAGTGTGTTCTAGTCTCCACTACTGTATATATCCAGAATATTTCTTTGTATTTTTTACTAGATTTTCATTCTTACCATGGTAAATTGATATAAATGAATTAGCCTTTCATGTTAGAGTAAAAGTGAAATTTTTTTAGAAAAGTAACGGATTCACTTATATCGTTAGTTTTCGTTGATGTTGAATCTGTTTTTAGAACGTTAGGTATATAGAATAAAAAGTAATGAGCATCTTTCTGTTCGATGTAATTTTTGTTTGAAAACGATGTGGATTTCAGATGTATGTCAAATGTGAAGAAATTTTTGCCCACTTACCATAGAACTGTGTACTGTTAATACATATTTTGCAAGTTTTTATTCATACATCATTTCTTTAACAAAATAACTGCTTTTTTCTTTTCTATGCAACCTTCATTCGATAAGTTAATAATATTAGGCAAAAAAATGTGTTTTTTTAACCAGTAGGTCTTTTATTGATTCTGGTATAACGGTGGAACAACATGATCAACAATATGTAAAGAACAGAAAGGAAAAAAAAATGAAATTCAATGTTAAAATGTGTGACCAAATGAAAAAGAATAGATTTTATCAATTTTATCCAACATCCATTCCAACAGTAACAACATTTAAAATATTTTTAAAATAACATTATATATGAATACAGCGTTAACTATTCAGTTAGCTAATGGAGCGCCAGAATAACAGCATAATCGTACTAGAATGAAAGCTTCTAAACGATCTTTCTGATTTCTAGCTGAAGAGCTTGCATTTTGTATATGAACTTATTTTAGAATTTGTTTTCGTTTTAAAAATAAGAAACGTTCGATAAAGTACTCCGGTAAACTGAGCCAAATTTCGAATCACACACGTGTTCAAACTCCCCTTCGCCAGTTTTCCATTTTTTCCTACCATTCTATAGAGGCCACTTGATATCTTCATTGAAATAATCCATTGCTCTTAGTGGTAACGTCAGTTCTCCTCTAATTCACTCTGTAAACCTGTCCGAGTAATTACGAACGACAATGGCAATGTGAGAGGAAATAAAAGAAGCGACATAGAACAAAGCATCTGAACTTACTTTCATTTACATCACTGTTAAAGCTTATTAGAAAATTAATTTTTTACTTTCAGTTTGTGCTCTTTTATTATTTACCATCTTTATAAAATTGGCGCAATAGTAGAGCTGCGCGATGTTAGATTTGAAGTGATGTAACAGATTTTCATTGTTCACTCGCAAAACGAGATCGATTTCCTGCATTCTACATGATGATGATTGACGTTATCAATCGAAAGTCTCTACAGTGTAAACAAAATGTTAGTTGTCGTTCTCGTGCAAATAATTTTGGCTTATTTTAACTTTGTATCAACAAATGAAATTGGAAGTATTCAACAGAATAAACAAGGCGGTTATTAAAAAAGAAGAAAAGTATTCAATAGACTCATGTGTAAGATGGTTGTAAATTTCTTTTCCTTCCATCATTATGTGACCACTAAGTATCTAATCATGAAAATATCGGATGCACCAAAATGATTGCAACATTCTTTATTTTGCATATATTTTAAGAAGAATTTTAAATATAGTAGGTTGGTAGAACTTTTCAATAACTACAAAATGGCTGTGTTCTATTTTATTATATTACAAAATATAAAGAACCAAAATTTAAAAACTATTTTTTGGCCTTGGGAGTAGTCGAGATCGCATATTTGCCGTATTTCCTTCATATTCTCTTATTTTTTAAAGTATATGGAAAAATGTTCAATATGTTTTTTGCAGAGAATTAAATGACGCAACTTATAAAAAAGAAATTAAAATTTTCCCAAAACTCTGGCCTCAGATATATGTAAAATAAAGAACGTTACTGTTAAGTCTAGAGACTTCTTGCACTAGTCCTATGTTTAGTTCCTTTTCTTTTCTTATTTTCGCACGTATCAAGGCACGGGATTGTCTTCTCACATGTCAAGACACGAGCTTCTCTTTCTTTTTGGACATAGTTCAAGTAGCAGTCTTTATATCTTCACTGTATTTCAACTCCCTTTAAATGTTTCTCTTTTCTCTTTTCTCTATCTTTAGTATATATAATATACGTTTTTTCAGTTTTATAGTAGAATGTGTACGAGAGCAGAGAGAGTGTATGTTACGTAAGTGTGTGACATTAACGCAGTTGCTTGTTTTATTATATCATTTTTGATTGATTTCTCAATATATTACTATCATTAATACTTTGGTTTAAGTATTGTTAGCTATATCAGGGGATCACTGAATCTTTTAAATCTACCACTAGCTAACAAGTGGGGGCCTGGCCGGGGATCATTGTCCACTTTGTCATATGATGGAAAAGAATATCAAAAATAAAAGGGTGGACAGAATTTCTTTGTTGTTACAAGAATACAATATTATTCAAGTTATACATGTAAAGGGTAGACATAATTGTTTACCCGATTATCTCTCGAGAAACCCGACTCACGATGAAGACGAATTAATGAACACTGAATATGGTCTTGAATTGGCCACTTTTGACCGCCACACGCATAGCGGTGTGGTCGGTGTCATCACCAGGTCTGCAGCTAAAAAACAGGCAGTAACCACAAATGCTGCTCCGCAAAATGGTGATGACCGCGCGACTCAACATGATTCGATAGATGATTCTGGAAAACCACCGGACAGAGTAATCCCAAATCATTTAGATATTACAAAATTAGTGAAAGAGCAACAGGAAGATACAGACATTCAAAGGAAGATTCAAGCGATCCAACAAGCTCCACACAAGCATCCCTATGTGTTAGCAGACGGTATTTTGTATAAATTATTATCCAGAGATCGTGCCAAAACCAAATTAAAATTAATTTATCTGCCTAAATCAATGGTACAGACCTGTCTTCGCTCTTATCATACTCATGCCACAGCCGCTCATTTTTCCGTTCAGCGTACATATGCAAAATTGAAATACAAATATTGGTGGCCACACATGCAACAGTCAGTGGTTGATTACATTAATGCTTGTGTGGTCTGCAAACAACATAATCACAGCAGACAAAAGAAGCCTGGACTTCTCCATCCTTTACCACCACCATCTGGTCCATTTCAAGTTTTAGGTATAGATTACTGTGGTCCATTTTCAACTACACCAACCGGCAACAAATATGTTCTATGTTTAACAGATCATTTTACAAGATGGGTGACAGCTGTTGCTGTCCCTGACTGCACAGCACAAACAACTGCTGAACACATTTTTAATGATTACATATGCTTTTTCGGTGTTCCAACAGCCATTTTATCCGACAATGGTTCACATTTTCAGAATCAATTAATGACAGCTTTAACACAAGTCTTAGGACATAATCATATCTACTCCACAGCATACCATCCCCAAACAAATGGAATGATTGAACGTTTCAATGCCACCTTCGTGCCACAATTAGCAAAGCTGCAAGATAAACAATCTAATAATTGGGATCTATATTTATCTAGCGTTGTGTTTGCATATAACACTGGTCAACATTTTAGTACCGGATACTCGCCCTTCCAGCTATTATTTGGTTGTGATGCCAAATTACCACCCGATGCACCTCCTAAACAGCTTATATTTAACAAACCAAATGACTATTTCCAACAATTAACGAACAATCTTAAGACGTATCATCAACATGCACGTCAATTAATGTTACACAATCAGACATTAGCCAAGTTGAGATATGATCGTAACCGAACAGATCCACAGTTTCAGAAAGGTCAATTGGTCTTAACGAGGCTTTATGGAAAACAAAATAAATTAGCAGAAAAATTCTCTATAGTTCCATCTCGAATTGTTGAAGTTAAACATCCCGTGTATTTAGTAGAAAATGTGGAGACAAAATATCTAGCACGCGTTCACATCAATGATCTTCGTCTCGTGCTAGAAAGTACTCTACCTTATTAATGATGTAGCCTATCGGCATTTCCTGTTTCATCTGCACTATCAAATTACTGTATTCGGATTTCATAACAAATATGAGCATTAAGTACAATTATAACACACAATTTTATTTACCACCTCACCATCTAATTCTGGTGCTTATGATTTGCACATCGATTTTGCAAGTTTAGTGCATGGCATAAATTTGATAACATTGACTGGCCATCAATAGCATCATAACTCATGTCATAGTGTATTAAGTTTCATGGCTATAGACATGCCTCATAATACAGGAAGAGAGCGAAATTTTTTGAGCATCTTGTTATATCACTAACATTCTTCACAACTATGCTAACGGTTAAGGACGCTTATCAGACTTAATTCTGAAAGTTCATTTTTAAAAATCTTTCTTCTAGCCCTATCATGTTACATATGATCACATCGACATTTTTTACTTCAAAAAAACGCCAAGCAAATGACGAATTTAAACATCTTCCCGTATTTCAGTTGCCGGTAGGGGACCGGGTTTCTGGCCCCACGGATAGTCTTACTGCTTTAGCGTTAANTCACAAGCACACCGAGGGATGATATCGACGAAGGTGCCAATGGTGATCATATTGATTGTACATGCAACTTTCGTCCATACAAAGATCCTAGACAAACAACAAGCTGGTCCTTACAAAAAGCCTTTGCTTTAGGATTTGGTTTGTATCTCAACAAAAAATACACTTGCAGCAATTGGGGCGGCGGTATAGATGTACAACTGAACACCTGGACTTTCCATGATAAAGAAACACGACATCAACAAAAATACATTCGGAGAGCACTCGAACAATATGCAATTAATGACGTCATTACAATCTGGTTTATTATGGTACAACAAGCACTCTATGCTTTACGAAAAACAACAAGAATACCACCACCATTATCAACAGTAGCTCCGAGACCACCATCACCCGGAATAACTAATGTACAAACAATAGCATTCTATGCTCCCGAAACCGAACCGGTAACTCCACCTACGGATAATGCATTTAATGAGCCAGTAACAGTTAATATTCCAGCAGAAAGCGAATTCCGAAGGTTATTACCATTAGCACAAAATTTCACATGTGCGCTCATTTCCATACCTGATACAGCGGTAGTGCCGGTAGGGGACCGGGTTTCTGGCCCCACGCCTACATCCTCATCGTCATCATTACCTCGAAGACCACAACAACAGCGAACTTCGACAACATCTCGGGTCTCTGAGCATCACCGCAAAATGAAAAACAAAGTCTCATCTATTAAATACCATAAGAAAGATTATCAATTCTCGTTAACCAGAGAAATTTATTATCGATTCACCATGTCTGATATTAAAAAGGTTCTAGCCGGTTTAGGATTGAAAGCAAGAAAACTTCAGCCTATAGACACAACCCACGGTAAACAATTATTGATTGGCGTTTACTCTCAAGAACAAGTAAACGAATTCGATCTCAAACTTCATGATGGACTATTTACCCGTGGCCATTATCAGAGACTATATGGACGTGATTAATCATATAACAACATATGATCTGCTTAACTTTTAAGTTAATATCATTTTCTTTCGTTCTTGTTCGATTTTGTTCAGTTTTGTTCGTTTGTTTGATTTTGCTTGATTTTGTTGTTCTGACTCCTTTCGGATGGATGATATATCCTTCTCGAACGGGGAGGATGTTAAGTCTAGAGACTTCTTGCACTAGTCCTATGTTTAGTTCCTTTTCTTTTCTTATTTTCGCACGTATCAAGGCACGGGATTGTCTTCTCACATGTCAAGACACGAGCTTCTCTTTCTTTTTGGACATAGTTCAAGTAGCAGTCTTTATATCTTCACTGTATTTCAACTCCCTTTAAATGTTTCTCTTTTCTCTTTTCTCTATCTTTAGTATATATAATATACGTTTTTTCAGTTTTATAGTAGAATGTGTACGAGAGCAGAGAGAGTGTATGTTACGTAAGTGTGTGACATTAACGCAGTTGCTTGTTTTATTATATCATTTTTGATTGATTTCTCAATATATTACTATCATTAATACTTTGGTTTAAGTATTGTTAGCTATATCAGGGGATCACTGAATCTTTTAAATCTACCACTAGCTAACAAGCATCACTCATAGAACAACGAATCCACGCACAGTTACGTCATTTCTATTGGTTTAATGTTAAGTTACACATAGAATATACTATATAGATAGAAGTAAATCGTATGTGCATGTTTTTTAAAGTTAAACACGGTCTAGTTCGCGTGCATGGGCACGAATATGTCCGTTTTTTACCGCATAATGCTCAAGACCATCTTCATAGTAACACTAGATATGGGCGGAAACAAACATTTTCAGTCCCGGTTTCAGCCCTGGTCCCGTAAAGTTGCCTGCATAGTTGCATGATTCATTAACAGCAACATCATCAGATACAAAACGAAAATGAGATGAGACAAATGCGAGCGATCAAGAGGATGTAAATCAACTATATTGCAAAGAAATGTGCTCAGATTTCTAACTACTCGGTGAAAGTAGTCTGTTTACTAATCTCGAGACTTGTAAAGCGTTAACAAGAAAATCTTTACAAGGTGTCAACTATTCTGTAGCTGAAGTTGACGAAGTATTTGACGGTATAAAAAAAATGATCGAAGATAAGGCCCCTCTTTGCAATGATAGCGAAAGACTTCTAGAAAATTTGAAGTGTGTTCGATTTTATTTGAAATCTAATTATAAAGTGTACATAACAAGATCTAATAACATTGCCAATCATTGTTGTATTTATGCATTGAGCGATCCTAAAACACGCAAATTTGCACAAGATTGTGATCATGAGCACGACGAATATTCAGTCGAGAGTCAAGCGTGTCGTAGCGACGCGTGTTACTTGTGGACATTATTCGGTATACGCGTGTCCAAATAATAACTTCTACTAACCTCTTTAATACAATAGATGGAACTATTCTTGATTCATTGTGGAGGACGAAGATTCAAGTGTTTTTTTAGCATCAGTATAAATATTTTCTAATATTTTTAATTCTTCGATAGCCATATTGATATCTTCAAAATCGTCCTCCAACGTTTGAAGATCTGCCTGAGGGTGACAGGCCTTCAAACGTTGGAGGACGATTTTGAAGATATCAATATGGCTATCGAAGAATTAAAAATATTAGAAAATATTTATACTGATGCTATGAAATTAGCTTTCCTAGCTTGCTTAGAAGCACGGTCAGCTCTTGAATCAGTAATACAGATGGGACTTTATCGTTACTAACGCAAGTAAAGTAACGCAAAAGCGTTACTCGTTACCAGTAAAGCAGTAACGCATGCGTTACTTGTAAAGAAACGGCAAAGTGCCACCTCTAGAACCAGCTACAGAACTATAGTTGGTCATTTGAACTGAAAATTTTCTCACAAAACGAAAATGGTCAGCATACGGTTCCGTGATGAAAACTGTAACCTCGAATTAAAATATTAGTAGTACACATTTTCTAAAGTACACATGTATGTATTTAATACTAATAGTATGCTATTACGGACAAGATGATTGTGTTAAACTTTTGACGACGTTGGATTGTTAACCAAGATTAAAATCAAAATTTGTTAATAGAAATTTATTTGAACTAATTGACAAATAGAAATTAATAGAAATGAATTTTGTTTAAAGCACTTCAAAGAAATTTGAGTCTAAATTAAATTAAGCTCCCCCCTCTCTCAGAAATTACGTCCGACACCCGACATCCGATCTTGACGAAACTTTCCATAAATGTTAGGCACAATGAGCTACGGGAATGGAAACATTTTTTTTCCCAAGTCTTACGGTTTAGGAGTTTTCCAGAGATCAAGGTCGAAAAAGGACCCTGAAGTGTATCCCGAGATTTTTTAATATATTTCAAGCTGCAGAGTTCGGGTTTGTTTTATTTTAAACTTTCACTCGAAAAAGCGTTAGGAATATTGAACATTGTTGGGACCAATGGAATTCAAGAAATGGAGGTGTGAATACTCACACAGAATGTCAACTTCGAAACGTAAAATCTTTGTTAAACTATAGTTCTTCTTCAAAAGAATACATACCGATTCACAAAGACATGCTGAGGAATGGTTTGGTGAGTAGTGCATGTCGAAATATTGCTTTCTTAGAAAGCTATGATTCATTTATTCAGAAGCTACATGCTGTACGAATAATCATCGCAGTGTGATTTACCACACCTTGATGTAAGCGCTCAACTCAAATATTACATGTTCCTTTTCTTTTCTTATGATTATTTCGACTATACAGTTGAATGAAACTAATGTCGATAGATCCGCAATGGCTTTGATGAGCCATAATTTAAAGTGAAATTACTATAGCAGATCAGCGAGCACTTTCATTATTCATTTCATTCATTTAAAGAAAATAGTGATAATGTAGTTATGACATACCTTCTCCCAAGCATGGATGTCAAAATATGTGGAATGTTCAACATACTTTTAACATTTGCATAAATTAAAATTACCTTTACTATGATTTTGTCCAGAAAAACAAATATATCAGGAAAACATTTTTTCATGAAATTGTTTGAGAGAAAGCGAGAACATAGGGTTTCGGGAAAAAACTTTTCTGGCAATGAATCCTGTAATATACATGACTCGATGAAGTTTAGTTTCGGAGTTGAAAATTTCGGATTTAGAGAGAAAAGTTGTATTCACTGTACTGTAAGTAAACTTAATCCAGAAAAGCGAATCGGCAAAGTACAAAGCATTTATAGGAAGCAAAAAACCGACAAAAGTCATTACACTAATACTCACTTAGCATGAGGAAGCTGTGTCCTATGTTAAGTTTATACTGCTATCTTTTCACGATATCAATCATGTGTGAAAACAACATTTTCAATACAGTTAGGTAACCAATCCATGTTGAAGCTTCTCATCCATTAGTTAAATATGAAGAAAATCTCCCCACCTTTCATTTTCCTCTGAAGGATCATCTCGTTTCCTCGTGTGCACTTTTTTCCTACACGAGATAGAAACAATCTATCACTTTTCAAATGTAACTTATAACATTTTTTTTTGATATATTTAGACATGTGGACAGATGACACCGAGCTGAGTAAAAAAAAGCTCGTTTTAATTTTCACCAAAGAGCTTTTTGGGATGAAAATTTCGAAACGTTCCAAAGGATTACTTTTGCTACAAATCGGTACAATTTCAAAAAATTCAAATTTTGCGTTATCTCTTTTGTTTCAAGTTTTGAAACTAATGTGTTTGAATTCAGCATTGAAAACCGAGTCACAAGTAAAATAAAAGAAACCTGCTGTCGGCTTCACTGAGATATTTTACACCTGGCGCTCAATTTTTATCCAATTGAGTTGAGCGTGGAACTAGCACCAAATTTTCTAATGTCGTGTAGATACATCACTTTTCGTTGAATTATTCTTTATGCTCTGCAGTCAGAAAAGCTGATAAAACAGACTAAAACACGCTTTGTTCTGCTTAGGTAAATCATAAACTACAAGATAAAAATGAAAATATAACTCGATCATATCACGTTGTTTTCATAAAGTAAAGATCTTCTTTTTTCATTTGAGAGAATAAACAAAACCAGCGAATTGTTATGGAACTAACGGAGGTTCAAGATATTTGCCTTGTGTTTCGTTCGTCGTTGAAGTTTAATTTGAGTAGAAAATATCATAAGCAATAGAGATTTTCAGTTGAAACAACGTATGTACTAATGAGAATGAACAGTTCTTGTTTTTATTCAATTCTGACTAATTTCTTAACCTCTTTCAAAAATCTTAAGAAGTTGTCGAGTTGAACAATACTTAAATTTCAAAATAACCATACAGAGAAAAACTGATCCTTAATGTTTTATGATATAACAATATTGTCAGTTAGCAAAAAAGAGAGAAACAAAACAAACACGAATAACACAAAGCATAGAGTGTCATCAAATCCGGATATTTTTAAGTCCTGGATGCCTTTTTATCCGGGAATCCTACTCGCCTGTGCAACTCCACCCGGATGTAATTTCATCCGGATTTAAAAGTCCGCAAAATTTCTACATCAATTTCCCTCAATCAGCTCCGGTAAAAAATATTCTGTATCAGTTTTTCACTTGCAGTTAAAGGCAATGCAAGTCCGATTGCTAACCAGTTGTATATTAGTCACTCCAAATGTACTTTAATAATAAAACTACTAGTATTACTATTATACTCTACGACGTGCAAACTTGCTTGCATTGCTTTTCATTACAAGTGACAAACTCCTCTACAATTTTTTCCTAGACTTTACAGGTTTTTTAAGAAACTACGGGAGTTGATCGCCAGTTGATCATCTGGATTCCAACATGTTCGGCAAATGATTCATCCGGACCTGTTGGATGAATAGTTTTCGAATGAGTTAAGAAAAGGATTTTAATAATCTGGATTTCATGACACTTACTTACACAAAGAAAAATGAATTATGAACAAACATCTGCATATGAAATAAAACATTAATTATTAGACATAAGTGATCTAAGTGCAAAACGAAATTTTTCTTATGGCAAAATACTAAAGCGACGTAACAGTTTAGATTACTTGCGTAAAGTGTAAATTGAAGTTAACATGCAAAACAGGATAAAAGTGTGGGATCCTCTTTAATGTGGAGGTCTGAAAATAACAACTATCTGAAAAAGGACAGACTGTAATTTTCGGGTAGCTCGACCCGGTACATTCCTAGTTTGTTCTATCAGCTTTTCTGGGTGCAAAAGATAAAGAATAATAAAATGGAAACGAGTATCTATACCACATTATAAAATTCGCTGCTCGTTACACGCTGAACCAAATTAGATAAAACCTGCGCCCCAGGTGTAAAATTCGTCGGTGAGTCCGACGTCAGATTTCTTTTAATTTCATTTTGACTTCTTCTTTGACGTCAACATAAGCGACGTGGTTTTTGTCTAAATATTATTTTCCTCATTCGTTGAAAAAAGGCGCGAATAAGAAAAATTTCGGCAAAAACCACGTCGATTATGTCGACGCCATAGAAGAAGTCAAAATGAAATTAAAAGAACCCTGTTGTTGGATTTACCGAAAAATTTTACGCCTAGTGGTTCGACGATCCGAATGACATAAGAGAAGCGGCAATGTGTATGCATAGAAAACAATGCATAGGTTTGCAAAATGTCGTTTTGAAGGGTCAGTTCAAGGTAAAAACAGTGGATCAATCAAACCTTTTTCCTATATTCAGTTGTCAATGCTGAATTCAAACAAACTAGTTTCAAAGCTTAAGAGTAAACACAAAATGCAAAATTTGAGTTTTTTCGAACTGTAACCCCAAGGAGATCCTTCGAACTTTTCTTGAATAGGCAAAGTACCAACTATCTATGATGAGCAGAAAACCGACACAAAAATCATTACACTAATACTCATTTAACGTAATGAAGCTGTGTCTTACGTTAAGTTATCTTTTCACGATATCAATCATTTGTGAAAACAACATTTTTAATAGTATTAAGTGATCAATCCATATTGAAGTTTCTCATCCATTAGTTAAATATGAAGAAAATATCACCTTTCACACTTTCAACTTTTTCTTTTTGATATATTTAGACATGAATCATTGTTTAAGTTGAAAACTTTATAACAGAAATTAAGAATAACATCGCCTTTTTCATGTGAGACGTTTCGTCTTTATTCGAAAGACATCATCAGTCAAACTGATATGCAAAAAATGAATTCAAACATAGAGAAATATCAGTTTGACTGATGATGTCTTTAGAATAAAGACGAAACGTCTCACATGAAAAAGGCGAAGTTATTCTTAATTTCTGTTATAAACCTTTTCACCTTAAACAATGATTCATGTCTAAATATATCAAAAAGAATAAGTTGAAAGTGTGAAAGGTGATATTTTCTTCATATTTAACTAATGAAAGAGAAACTTCAACATGGATTAGTTACCTAACTCTAGTAAAAATGTTGTTTCCACACATGATTGATGTCGTGAAAAGATAGCAGTATAAACTTAAGAGACATTTTGCCACCACACCAACCATAGTGCCAAAAGTCTGTCAAGTCAAATTTTTTGACCTATAGTTTTTTTTCTATTTTTCGATTCTATGATCAAAACTGAGGCTATGAAAAAATTTTGAGGTCGTTTGGACTTGATTTCGCCGAGTTATAGAATTTACAAAACTAGGTGTATCGAAGATTTTCAAAAAAGTGAGCTCCGTGACGACATTTTGCCTATAACTTTGTCAAATTTTATTCATTCTATTAGAACGACGTCTCATTCGGAAGTGCATCAAAAAATGAACAAAATCATGTGTTTTTAAATTTTTTCGAACGGAAACTGGTTTTTTCAGAAGCCTACCATTTGAAAAATTAGTAATTTTAAAAACAAAATTTTTCCAATAAACTTTATTTTTCGCCGTCTACAGTAGTTCTGCGCAATCTATGTAATGCAAATTTCAAACCGTCCGTCACTGTCGCCAAAATTGTCATAGTAGAATGTTGGGAATGTTGTGAATGCGTCTGTATCGATGCAAAACCTTAACACACTACATTAATGAAACCACTCAGCGGTGGGTCCTACTTCCCTTCTTCCTTGGTAATTTACTTATCATAAAAAATAACCAAGAGGTACCGCGTAGTA